CATTAAATCTATGAAGCAGTTTCACCTTCTGCCATTAAAATTAAAAGTAGACAAGACTTAAAATGCTGTTAAATGGTTAAAAGCTGCTTTTTAATGCACAGGGTCAATAAAGAATAAATGCATACAACTCAGAATAATGACAAATTTGACAGTGCGTGAGAACTGTGTTCTATGTATTTAAAGAATATTTAAGTTCTTGTTTACATTTCATATTATAGTGCTTTTGGAAATCCCCTCTTATTCTCATTCTATACACGTCAGTATCATCAGGAAACTATGTGATTATATTTGACAGCACAGTGCTGCTATAGGCCTATTCTGGAGTGTGTTTAAATTGAGAATATGCCAACAATGAGCTATAGAGAACAGCATGATAGAATCTTAAAAATGATTGCAAGTCACATTCCGAAGCTGTTCCTCCTCCACCGAACCCAAAAAGAGGTGTCTTTAAAGGGGACCTCCAGAAAACTGAAGCCTGGGCTTGACTGAAATAATGTGAGCGGCACTTAAGCTGTTTACAGTAAAGGTGACGAATGTGTCCTGGTGGCGTCTGCAGGAAAAAGAATGAGGCCTATTAAAGACCACATAAAGAACACGTCAATCAGGTCGGGCAGTTCATCGGTCCAGTGGAAGTGGACTATCTACCTGCACTTCAATTTCTAAATATAGTCCCAGTAAGTGACTCATTATTGAACGAGCTGCAGGGAATCTTCTTATCAACCCTCAGGAATCAAAGAGACACTTTGTACAGAGAGAGAGCATGAGGGACTTGCACAGTACGGACGGATGAATAAAACTCGGCCCCTCGCAGCTATGGCACCGCTCCACAAAACGACAGTCAAAGCCTGAAGCTTTTTTTTTTTTTTAACTACCTTCCCCAGAGACTCGTGAGGCCCCACTTCTCTGCAACTCCAACTTACTTTGCTTCAACCCCACTCAAAAACTGCATATATCATATCTTCTTGTGTCCCGTGCCACCAGCGTTTACATCATTGCCTCAGTAATGGAGGACGTGGGCAAAAACTCATAAATGCCAGATTCTGTTTAGCCAATCTGGAGATATGAGTGAGGGTCTTTGTGGGAGCCAAGGCTCAGCAGATCGAGTGCTGCAGACAGGCTGTTTAAAAAACCTCTGCCTTCTGCTCCGTATAAATCACTGCAACTTACTCACACACTTGTATAACACAACAACATCTCAGTGGACTGCGTCCAAGATGCTGACAAACAAATCAGAGCAGGGGGAATTGTAAATGTCGTAAGGTACCTGAAACATTATCTCTCTGAGGAGTAATGATGACACCAAACTGTGGGAGATAAAATATCATATGTGTATAAATCATGCAGATATACAGACATCTGGGACTGATTAAAACTTAAGCATACTTCATTATGTCTGTCCACACAACCCTTGGTCTACTAACTATAAAAAAAAATCTTAAAAATTGGAAAGCTGTATTCTTGTTTTGTCATTGGTTTATTTTGAAGTTGATGTAACACATGGTAAGTGCGCAACTAATTTTTTCCACAGTTCTGTTTCTGTCTTAGGGGAATTTATTAATCACAGGTCTTTGGCGAACAGTAATAACCCTGCAGCCTGACCTGTTCTCCATCCAGATTGAGCAAAAACCCCTTTTTATATAAACGTCCTATCATTACAGTCTGCATGTGTCCTCACATACCATCTGTGAAAAAAAGACTTTCCTCTGAGGCCATTGGACTATCAAACATATATTTTCAAATGAATACATCAAAGAATGATAGAGACAGATGGAGGGAGGGGATGGATGAGAATGCATCGGTGAAATCTCAATCAATGCACGAAATACAGAGAGAAAATCACGGGATACTAAAGTATGTCTTCTCCATAGTGACCTACAACTAGAAGTTTGCCCTAATTAAAATATACCAATTAAAAAACGGTGTCCTATACAATCCAACAAACTATCCTATTACTACTACATCCAACCCAGACTACAGGTTTAGGTTGTGATCACAGATTTATGATTTTACAGAAAATGTCTCAGCCTACAGTCCTGCACAGACATATTATTCTATTTGGGCTGGGACAGACTGTATATGACCTGTGTGCGCCATCTAGTGTTGAAATGTGAGCATTGTCATAAAGTTTGAAGAAGGAAGTGTGTGATTCCGTAACAACTGTGAAGTTATCCACTGATACCTGGTGCTTTTAAAACTCTCCTCAAAGTAAAACTTCTTGAGGCTGCAGGAAAAATGATGTTGAAGAGTGACAACAGAACATAAAGATAGAGAATGTGTCAAATGTATATTTGGACATTTTATCAAAGAATAATTGCACATATACAATGTAAACAGAACGTGCACAATTACTATTATTATTATTGCATAGATTTAGTCGAACAATGGGGACAAATACTTTCCATAGTAGCGTAACTGCATATAACAACCAAAACTTTAAAAAGGTCACATTCACTTATCTATCCCATAAACTTTAGATGATCCATCACAGCCTGTTTCCATGCCTTTATTTATTTATGAGCTCATGTAGCTCACTTGAAACCAACATCCTCTGTTTAAGAATGTTTTTATTTTATTTTAAACTACTTTACATTTTCCTCAGGTGACTTTCTGTGACTTCTTGTGAGTTTTACCTTGAAGGTCACCAGCGGAAGTGGTGCTTCGTGTCATGGCTAACTGTAGCTGGTGTTAGCTTCCTCCTCCTCTCACACACACACACACACACAGAGACAGCATGGCTTCCAGTGCTAAGATCGGTCCGTCCATCCTGAGCAGCGACCTGTCCTGTCTGGGCAGCGAGTGTGTGCGGATGATGGAGTGCGGGGCGGACTACCTGCACCTGGACGTCATGGACGGGTCAGTGCTACCGGTGCTCAGCCGCAGAGATAAGCTAGCATGCTAACGACTAGCGGTCTAAGTTCAGCGCTACAGAGAGAGCGAGCTAAAGTTGGCTAAGCTAAGTTAGCGCGTGAGAGGTGAATCAGGGGGAGCTGGTGTTTATAAGTTTGTGGTTGAAGACTTCGTCACTGAGTCTTTGCAAACATGTCAAACACGAGCCTGAGCTCCGGCTCGTCCACTGACCTCCTCTTCCTCCTGCCGCCGGAGACTCGCTCCTCTGTTCCAGCCGTCACGTGTGTGGAAGCCCCCTACTACTTCCACTTATAACAAACTATAAGTCACTTTAATGAGAAACTCTCTCGAAATAATGACTCACTTATTTAAAATAACTAGATCGTTTAAAATAATGACTCAGTGACTAAATATAACTTAAAGTAACAACTCAGTAACTCACAATGAGTTGGTATGAAAAATAATGATTTACTAACTTAAACTAATGATTTCCTAACTGAAAGAACTTGGGCTTCTATCTCAAATGAACAACTTAGTATCTCAAAATGATGATGATTGAATGTGTCAGAATAATGAATTAAAAACTTCTCTATCTCTAATATAAATACTAAACGACTTAGTGTCTAAAAATAAGGTTACAAATCAAAAAAATGCTTGTCAACTCAAAGTTATGATTTACTATCTCATAATATTGATTAACTATCTCATAACTACGAGTTGCTCTCTCTTAACAGCTTTCTGTCCTGACTTTTTAATTTCATAATTTTGACTTAGCATACATCGTCTTTTCTTTGAGATGAACTTCCGTCACTTTGCAACTGTTAAGCAAGTTGTGAAAATGTCCCAACGCCTGTGTTGTGTTAAATGTCTGGTTTTGTTCCCCTTTCAAGGCATTTTGTCCCTAATATCACATTTGGCCATCCCATGGTGGAGTGCCTCAGGAAGTCAGGCGTTCAGGAAGCCTTCTTTGGTGAGAAGAAAGAAAACACCCTAACATATAATTTACTTTACAATGTAACCCAGTTATCCTGTTTGAATTGAATGATGAATGCCTCTGCTGTGTGTCGGAGTGCAGTAACTGTGACTGTGTTGATGTTGCAGACATGCACATGATGGTGTCTCGGCCGGAGCAGTGGGTGAAGCCCATGGCTGCAGCAGGAGCCAACCAGTACACTTTCCACTTAGAGGCCACGGGCAACCCTGGAAACCTCATCAAGGAGATAAGAGAGAGTGGCATGAAGGTGAGAAACGACTCTGCTCCCCAACAGGCAGAATTGAACTCACAGCAGAGTTTATTGTAAAATGTCACTTAGTTATATGTCACTAAACATAAACACACATTTTTCTGCATTGTTTATTCCAGTAAAATAAAAGTTTTCATTTAGACAAAAAATATGCTGATACCAATCTGTCTGGGAAAGGCTCACATCAGCCAACCAATAAATCATTCTGGCTCTAGACGACTCTTATTGACACGTGATTATTATTGTAGGTGGGTTTGGCCATAAAACCTGGTACAGCGGTGGAGGAGCTGGCACCCTGGGCGAACCAAATCGACATGGCTCTGGTCATGACTGTGGAACCTGGCTTTGGAGGACAGAAGTTCATGGAGGACATGATGCCCAAGGTAAAGACACAAACTCACTTCAAATCTAACAAAACAGTAAATCAGCTCCTCTTAACATTGAACAACACCAGCTGCTCATTTGCATCATTTAAATCATCTATATGGCCAATATTTGGCTTTTCATGGAAGAATACCATAACATAACATGTGCCAGCTAAAGGATGTATCCCATATGCAGTGCATTGATAAAAAGTCGGCAACTGGCAACAAAAGAGGCAAGAGAGAAAACATAAGCAAGTTGAACTTTAGGACAAAAAGAAAATTATAGATTGCATTCACAGGCTCATCTTCTATTCAGTGCATTGAAAACAATTTCTGTTAGAGGAGGATAACGAGTTTAGACCTGGTCTGTGATACGCAATCAGGATAAAAAGTGCGAAGCAGAGTCCCCGACAGTGAAAATGACCGTGGAACAGATCAGACAAGTTGCACAATAATACAACTCCATCAGATGTATTATTATGTGTCTGTTTCTTACACGTCGACTAAACTTTAAGATAAAGACTGAAGTTTCATAAGAGTTGTGTAAAGTGTCACAATGATGTGACACTCGAGGTCCACTAACATTTCAGCTTCACCACACGGATGCAGTTTTTTTAAGTAAGAACCAAATAAAAAATGCGTATCAGTTTCAGCGCTCCCTTCTCTCTTAAATATTTTATTTTCTAAAACGAGCGGAGAAGTCAGTTAGATGTGTAAATGTCCACATCAGATCACAGGACTAGTGTTTCAGTCTGGTTGGAGGAGGATGTTTGTACTTTAACCTGCAGCCCTGTGTCTTTCTGCAATCCGTCTAATATCTGAAAACTTTTGTTGAAATGGTACTCAGCAGATTCTAATCTGTGTCTTGTGACCAGGTGAGCTGGCTGCGGAGTCAGTTCCCTTCGTTAGACATTGAAGTAGACGGAGGGGTCGGCCCTGACACCATTCACAAGTGTGCAGAGGTAATGAATACAAACACTACAGCCTATTAATTCACCACCAAAAAAACTCTCAATCAGATTTTTTATAAGTTCTCTTACATTGTGTGTATTCTCATGTTTGCTTCAGGCAGGAGCCAACATGATTGTGTCGGGCAGCGCTGTGATTGGCAACGACGACCCGCGATCTGTCATCGCTCTTCTTCGTACGGTGGTGGCCGAGGCAATCCAGAAACGCTCGTTGGACCGCTGAGATGTCCTCTGTGTCCTCTGGAGATCCCTGTGGTGACAGTCTACCCAATCCAAGGCACATACCACCACAGCCAGAGGAACAGACTCATTATGGACATTACTGGGGGGCAGAGGTTAGGGTGGGGGGGGTCCCAGTCAGAGCAAAGCGGAGCCTCTGTGGAGGTGTGAGCTGATGGTGAAATCTAAATCACTGTGGTGTGAGTGAAGCTGCATCGTGCCTCTACAAAACCTACAAATCTTTTCCTGACACAGCCTCTGAACGGTTTAGTCAAAGTGAGTCTCGACATTTCCAGACTGGAGCTGATTTTTTGAGGTTACGCTGATTTCACGTCTGTCAACATTCCTGAATATAAGTCTTAAGTATAAATTATGGAACTAACATAACCCAAGGACATTATCTTCTGTTCATGTTTCATGTAACTGCTGTGTGCTCTTTCGCTGTTGTGTTGAAATGGACCATCCTCTGCTGTGTGCTACTGAGCAAAGATGTTCTACTCTTCTAAAATCCATGAGATTTGGTTTCGCAGATTAAAAAGACTCAAGTCATGTGTGGATTATTTGCAGTTTGCATAAATATTAGTGAATTACACCCAGACATGGTCTCGCTTCAGGTTGCTTAATGGCAGTGTGTCAATGTTACAAGCTGCTGCTGGTTCTGACTGGATGAGAAAAGCCGATTATTTACTGATATTTAATAATCTTGATGATGTAATCCAGGGTAAGGATGCGTGTTTGAAAAGAAGGTGTACACTATTTAATAAGTGACAAAAACCTTCCTACGTTTTTTTCTCACATTTACTCAGTCATTAAATTTGTTCTGCAACTACAAGCAGGAAGGATTAAAAAAAAACAAAAAAGTGAAGTTGATTAATTTGTTATCTGCATGTACACTCACCAAACAGCTTTGTCCAGTCTCGGTGGCAGGGATTCAACAAGCTGCTGGAAACATTTGAAATTCTGCTCCGTGTCGACATGATTGCATCACATTATTTCTGCAGATTTGTCAAATGCACACTCATGCTGTGAATCCCCTGTTCCACCACATGCCAATGCTTTTCTATGGTGGCTGGGGAGGCTTCTGAAATTTACTGTACTCACTTTCATGATCATAAAATCAGCATGAGACGACTCCTGCTTGTGATATGAAGCATTACCATTAGAAGATGGTAAACTGGATTCACGTGGTCAGCAGTTGTGCTCGGAGAGACTGGCTTTCAAACCATGATTGATTGGTATTAAGGGGCCCAAAGTAAACACCCCCTGCACTATTACACCATCAGCAGAAGGCTGGACTGTTGACATGTCGGGTCCATGGGTCCAGGTCGGGTCCATGGGTTCATGCTGTCATCTCTAAATTCGGATCATACCATCTGTGTGCCTGAGCAGAAATCCAGTTCAGAGTCTCTATCACTGCAGCCTCGAATTTCTTAGACGAGTCGAAGCTGAGTTTTCTGTATTTGCAGCTCATCTGACTCATATTTTGATGTGTTGCTTTTCTGCTCATTGCAGTTAAGACAGCTAACCCATATAGTAACTAGAATAGCACTCAGCGAGTAGTCCCCTAATGACACCACATTTACATTCACTAGATTTTTATTTGGATCTGCACAACTTGCCTGAAATCTTTCATCAAGATCCAGGAATTATTCTCTGAGACATGTTGAAAAGAATTCCTGGATCCTTGCAGTAGGTTTTCTGTAATACTGCTAACTCACTGACAACGTAGATGAACACATAACATCCCTGGCGGAGGTTATTATATTTTTACTGGTTGCTTTGCAGATTGCAACTTTATTTAGAAGACATGATGATCTACAGCTGTCTGAATAGTTTAAATGGCATCCATCTTAACTAAATATAACCGTATAAACAATTCAGTATCGGAGTAAGATTTTGACTGTTCATACTAACGACAGAATATTTTCTACACTGTGGTTTTGCTGAATGCTGCTTCCTGCACTGATTGAACATTTTCTCGGTTTCCTCTTATGTACACTAGATGGCGAATTTGTTCAAAAACCCCCGAGTAGGAGGATTCCTTGTCAGAGTAAGAATTCATGTAATGCAATTGT